GATAATACAACCCCAACGTTTCAGCGTCTTAGTTTTCCTTAGGGGGGATATCTAACCTAATGGTCTCTGTTCCTATTAATATACCCTAGAAAATGTCTAATAATAATTGCCTGATTGAAAACAAACAAGTGGGGGTGGGAGGGGGATATGATGCCGGTAAATCTGACGGATCTGAGCTGAGTCACTTCCGTGTTCGTCTAACGTCATCATGTTCGCGAGACGTCAGACGTAATCACGTTGTATCATACCTATCGTGGTGCCGTGGGACCAAAAAACCTTGTAAGCCGAACCTGAAAAGGCAGCTGTGTGCCATTATTAACTGCAATAATTACCTTTATGGGTTAAGTCCACCTCTAGAGGCTGTCTACCAAGCAGACAATAAAGGGAATTCTGGGTCATTAATCGACTTCTGGTCACCTAACTGATGCTGGACATCCTAATGCTATGCGTGAGGACATCCAGCATTATCCGAAGCCCCATAGGATAGGATTGTATAATGCTTACGAGTTTTCTGTTGCCTTTTCTAGTTCTATCTATCTATCTATCGCAAAGAAGGCTATAAAAAAATTAACACAATTAATAGCACATTTATATAATACTTTGTGCTACCTCTCTTTGCCAAGGTGACAGCTCTGAGTCTTCCCCTATAACACATGATTAGGTTGGAGAATACATGGCAAGGCATTCCTCCGTACAGAATCTCTCCAGATCCAACAAATTTCAAGGTCAACACTAGTGGACTCTCCTCTTCAGTTCAACCCAAAGATTTTCTATGGGGTTCATGTCAGAGGACTGGGATGGCCATGGCAGAACCTTGATTATTTGGTCGGTAAACAATTTTTGTGTTGATTCTGATGTATGTTTTGCTCACTTTTCCTACTGGAACATCCAACCAGAGCCAATTTTAAGCTTTCTGGCACAGGCAGTGATATTTTCATTCATTCCTAAAAAAAAAAATGTCCAGGTCCTCTGGCAGAAAAACAGCCCCACAACATTAAAGAACAGAGTATTTTTAATTTTTAAACAAAAGGTTAAACAATATAGACAATTTTTCACAGCTTTATTTGCTTATATTTACCAAAGGTGATACTATTAGTGGAGGGCACTGTGTATTTTCTCAGTTACAGGATTCCTGGTAGAATAACTTCTACACTGTGCTGTAGTGGTTATGGTGCTTATAGTATCCGTTTGAAATCTATCATTTAGTCCATATTAACTTAGGACTTTGCTTTATAGGAATATTTTTCCATCCTGTCGTCACATGAGACCCACCACCAGGCTAGGATTTCATCAGAACTTCACTGATATTCAGGTGTCTCAATGAAAATATTTGAGCCACAGATTAACACAAATCATGACATTCCGGCTTGCACCTGAGCAAAACTTCACTGTAGTGACAGAGGACTTGGCATATGACACCTTTGAATGACCGTGCAGCGTTACGTATCATACAGTCGTGGGCCTGTGAGGTTGAACTCTTGATTGCTTGTGACTGTAGAACTTAGATGATCCACTTAGTGGTTTTAGTGACACAACCCATAATATGGATAGCCAGAGGCTACCGGGAAAAGGAAATGATAACACATTTTTCACTTCTGGGCCTAATATCCTCTCCCGTCTATCCTCTCACATGTCTTCCCACAGTCAATCATTACATTTGCTTCCAGTGCCCTATAAGAGTCAATTCAAAATATTAACTCTTGCCTACAAAGCTCTCAACATCTCCCCCCCTCCCACCACCCGCTATGTTTCTTCACTAATTTATAGATACATACCTTCTCGGCTGCTCCGCTGTTTTCTCTTGTCTGCTACCCGTACTGCCTTCTCCCATCAGACTCTCCCCTAGTCTTTAATCCTAAAAGAAGTCCCTTAAAACATCTTCAGAATAGCCTATGGCCCACTGGGGTAACTGTCAATTTTAAACTATCCCTTACTCTCTCATCTTAATTTTGTGGGTCCACACTCCCCTTCACTTTTAACTTCCTATTCTGTCACTTTTCCCACCCTGTCACCTGGTTGCTATCCCCCAAGCTACCTTTCCTGTTGTTTTTTTTTTTTTTAAATTTCCACCTCCTTTAATATGCAAGATTGTTTGAGGAGGGTCCTCATCAACGTATTGTTCCTGTGAAAATTTGAAATAGCTTATTTCATTTATTGTTAAAGTCCAACCTTTATATTTTTGTACAGTGCTACGAAATAAGTTTGCACTATACAAATACAAATAAGAAGTAGGAAAACGGTGCAATTTGATATTTGCATAGTTGCCAACTGTTTTTTTTTTGCTGTAAATGTCCTAATTTTTGGTCTATTGTCCCATCAAAGTAGGTCCTGGGAAGAGACCTGTTATATTTTCTAAACTCAGTCCTGAAATTAATGTTCAGATTGGTCTATTTAATAATACCAAGAACAACCAGGACTGCAAGACCAATTGCTGTATAATATATCCATTATATTGGTGCTACAGTGGGGACAAAAGTGTTATGCTTCCAAGATGGCCTCAACTGTTCTAGTTGCGAGTGGGTCCTTGTTTGGGTCTGGAACTCTGGCTCTGAGCCAACCCTCAATCAATAGATCTCCCTGCAGGGCCTTGTTTCTACTCACTTCTCATTTTCAGACAGTAACCATAAGCGAACATTTATAACTAGGGCTCAATAACTTTGCTTTGAGGTAAAGAGGAATAGGTATTACAAGGCTGGGTAAGAGCACAACAAAAACTATATCTGCGTATTACACCCAGGTCTCACCAGAATGTGGTCTTATGCCTGAGTCCACTCCGGAGTCATTTATGGGATCTCCTGCTGCCCTGGTCGTTGTGGAGACAGTATGGGAATTCCCCAATCTTGCAACTTCTGGACTCCATCCTCCAGGGATAGAACTGCATGCATGGCCCCTTGGTGGTGTATGAGCAATTTAGCCGGGTAACCCCAGCGATATTATATTGGACCCGGGTGTCAATGTGATTGGAGCCAGGGACTTCTGAAACTGGAGGGTGTTGGCAGAGAGATCTGCAAAGATCTGTAAGGACCCGGGAGATCACCATTCTTGCAGGCTTTGGTGAGATGTTCTTTAACATGAAAAAAATGAACATGCGTAATCACATCTCTAGTCGCCGACGGAGGCAGGCAGTGTGCCCTGTCCACCAGTAGCTGATACTGTCTTTTGGGCGTAAGTGCCTGGAAGAGGTATGAAGGTAATTCTTCGTTGGTCACTCTCTCTGGAATTCCTCTGATACGAAGGTTATTCCTCCGTGACCTATCTTCCAGGTCTGCGAGTTTCATTTTGTGCGTGTGGATGATGGTATCCAGTTCTTGGAGTTTGTCGGTCACCGAGTTATGAGCTCCCGCGAACTGATCCATCTTCTGCTCAACATGTGTGGTTCTCTGGCCTATATCTTGAATCTCCTTACTTAAGTCTGCAGCTAAAGTCTGCATTTGAGATTTGATGGAGGCTTGAATCGTACATAATCACTCTCATGGTGGAGGCAGTAAGAGGGGTCTCATCAGTTACTGTGCTCGGGGAGTCCGGAGGGGAGGGTGAGTCATCCCTCGAGTGGGGCTCAGCGACATCTTGCGCAGTGTCTGGGCCTGTTTTAAGTTTTTGCGCGGAGGCTCTCGCTAGGAAGGAGGCTCATTCCACCTTACCAGTCTTATGTTTCTGTCTCTGGGACATAGTGCTGATAGTATTCAATGATTCTGTGCACTCGTTCCTCAGGAGCTTTAGCAATGTGTGTCCATTCAGATCAAGTGCTAGGCCATGCCGCCCTCATTTCTCATTGTAAGAGTGCCATTGTGGTCCCATGGTGCTTCTTGATGGCTCAGAGCGCCACAGCCAACTCTCTGAGTTATTGACTCAGCACTGGTAGCGTGAGGGCACTCTTAAAGTGGTCTGTACCTTATATTGGTGCCGACGATAGAGTTCCCCCACCAGACCACCAGGGATCATGATCACACTCCACTGGACCACCAGGGAAGGTAAGCAGGAAGGGGGAGGGGGAGGACATACACACACACATACATAATATTCAACCACACTCAGACTACCCTGCACACAAAGACAACTTTCAACAGCTCATACTGACACACTCAACCTCCTCTGATACAGCTCTCACCCTCCTCGGATACAGCTCTCCCACACACAACACTCAGCCATCACAAACATTCTCACACACAACACTTAGTCAACACACACCACTCACAGAAACAGACCTGCAAGGCTGTAGGAAAGGGCCCCAATCTGGCATCCTGCCTAGAGCCCTGGGCAAACTTGATCCATTCCTGCTGTATACTTAGCAAAGTTGGCAAGCACATAATTGGTATTATAACACTGAAAACCTGATTCTTAAACCGATGGGCAAGAACCAGGTTACTGTAATACTATGAAGTGAACCAGTGTAGGAGGAACCAGTAGCAACGGAACTAGAAGCTACTGCTTCAAAGTACCAGAC